TAGCTTGCACGGACACCACTCACCTTGAGGGATGCCATATTTCTTCTCCATCCCAGTTGGGTTTGACGGCGTCACACAGTTCATGGTCACCTCTTTCCTTAAGCACTGGTCAACGTCCACTGCGCTGAAGAAAGCCACTGACTGTGGCAGATCCTGGAGGCCCAGTTTGTAGGCAAACATGCACCTGGAAGAGAAAGAGACCAGGTCAGGTGGTGCTACACATCACCCTTAGGCCTTGTCACACCCGGCTTCCATCAGCCACAGCTTCACAAAACACTGGCCAGCCGCCGCTAACAGGCTACTTTGCACCCGCGTCACTCAGCAGCTGAAAGACAAGGTGCTTTTTAAGTACTGGGTAGCAGGAGGGTCAAGTATTGCTAAAGTGGACGTGGGAGGAACAGCGTAACTGTACGTTGAGCCTCCTCGGAAGAAAGGAAGAACCCAGCCCCTCGCTCCTGGCTAATCCTCTCAGGCAGAGCAGATGCTGGATTTTCTCAGCAACTTTGCACCCGCGTCACTCAGCAGCTGAAAGACAAGGTGCTTTTTAAGTACTGGGTAGCAGGAGGGTCAAGTATTGCTAAAGTGGACGTGGGAGGAACAGCGTAACTGTACGTTGAGCCTCCTCGGAAGAAAGGAAGAACCCAGCCCCTCGCTCCTGGCTAATCCTCTCAGGCAGAGCAGATGCTGGATTTTCTCAGCAGACCCGCTGCGCCTGCCACACCGGCACAGAAAGGCTGTTTGCTGTATCCCCGCCTCAGCGCAGGAGAAAACAGCTCAGCTTTGGCCGGCTCCCATATAACTGAATACCCCACAGTGCCGGGAAGGGGATTTGGCAAAGCTGGCTGTGCCGGAGCCGGACTGAAGGATGCCCTTTGAGGCCCAAGAGCTTTCCAGGCTGAGCTTAACCTTGCACAGGGCAGGGAGGCAGCCGGAACGCCCCACGCTGCAGAAGGGTCAACAGCGCTGGTGCTCGCAGCAGCGACAACAAGCCGTGGCCCTTGCCGTCCCCTGAAGGCGGGGGGGACACGAGGGACGGGGGCACTTTCACGCTCCCAGCTGCTCAATCAAGCCCAAGGGCTGCTGCCACGCGACGGCTGCAGACCTGAAGGGAGCAGGAGGCGATGTGCTCGCATCCCAGCAGAGCGGAACGGTTGGCCCCATCTCTGCAGGAGCCAAAAGCTGACGATTTTCCCCTCTTGCCAGCAGATTATCCCTGGACATCGAAGCCGAGCTCCGTTTATAGCCACCCAAGTCATGCATGAAGGAAGTCCAACCCCCAGCACTGCCAACTTCCCTTGAGCAGAAGAAAACGGCTCTGCGCCAGCTTGCTGAGGGCAAAGCTAACCCCTCTTCACCCCAGTCCCTCGGGCTTGCCCCATCCCACCCCAGAGACGCTGGCGCTCATTCCCAGGAGACAGCACAGCCGTCACATCTCACCGCGTGAGGAGGTTGGTGATCTGCAGGGCCAGGGCTGCCCGGTAGCGATCCTGCTGCTGGACCAGGTAGCGCACCTCGTCGTGGATGCTGATGCAGAAACGCCCGTTGATGTCGAACTCCTCGAAGAGCCACTTCATGGCAACCAGCATGAGGTGCAGGTAGTCAACGGCTGAGCTCTGCACCACCCAGTTCACTCTGCTGGTCAGGAACTGGTGGAAGGAAACACAGACAGATGCTAGGACACCATCAGGGTCCCAGGCCTGGTCCTGATACAGGAGAGCTCTTGGGAGAAGCCTGTTAAATTCAGGGTTGTTGGGTTTTCTTGATGGCATACAGATAAAAAATAGGGGCAATGGGTTTCTTCATGGCTCCAAGAGCCTACTGGGTCTCCACCATCTAAGAAGGGCTGAACTTGGGGTTGCCATTTTGGAGAAGACAAGCAAAGCCAAGAGCTCAGCAGCACAGAGCCCCGTCCTTACCTCCCCCTTGGCCACGGCGGGCTCCAGGGCCCTGCTGATGTGACAGCCCAGCACCGGGGTCTGCGGCGAGGCGGATAAGGCGATGCTCTCCAGCTTGTTGAACATTTCGGACTCGGTGCCTCCAGCCCATACTCGGTGCTCCACCACGTCCCACTTCTTCTTCCTCCGGGACCTGACGGGGCAGAGGGGAGGTTTGCTGGAAGCATGGGACAAGGCTATGAGCCCCGTTTGAGAGCCTCAAATGGTTTGGGGCAGCCGGATGAGCCCCTGCAACCTCCTGCTGCTAACTGGTCACTGGGAGAGACTGGGAGCCCCCAGATCAAATGGACTCAGCCCTGGGGGAGCAGGGAGGGAGGATCGGGACCATCCAGCCCTGTCTCCCTTATCTGCCCGCAGGGCTGCAGCTCCCTCCACCTCGCACCCTGATGCCACCAGAGCCGTGCAGAGTTGGAGCATCTCACCTTTTCATGGCTTCTCTCTGGAGCCGCTGGACATCCTGGGCCGACACCGATCCATCCTCCGCCCTGTCCACAGCCAGGTCCAGCTGCCTTACCAACCACTCCCCCTCCTCAGTGAGATGAAACCTGGAGGGGAAAGCGACCCGTGCCCAAGTCCCGTGGGACACGGCCACCATCCCTGTCCCTGCTCGCCCTCCGCTTCCCCAGGCAACACCCACCTCCGGACGCCCTTGGTGACCGCGTACATCTGCTGAGCCTTCTCACGCGCCTGCTGCTGCGTCAGCCGGTGGTTGAACTGCATCAGCAGCCGCTCGGCAAAGGGCTGCCCGGCCCCGTAGATGCGCCCGTAGTTGAAGATTTTGGCATGCTCCCGGCTGATGCCCACCGTAGCAGCCGTCTTGCTGTGCAGGTCTGTCGCGTTGCTCTTCTTCCCTTGCAGAGTCATCCAGCCGAAGGCCGTGCAGCCTGCCGGGAGAGCAGCAGGGGTTGGACACCAAACGGGACCACGCTCGGGGGGGTCACCCCACTACCCAGCGAACCCATTCCCCGTGGCACAGCCCTGGCTCACCGTGCATGCCGGCGAAGTGTGCCTCGCCAAGGATGGCAGCTATCCAGAGCTCCTGGGAATCCACGTCTGCACCCACCAAGGAGTAGCCAGGTGGCACCTGGACCATGGCTTTCAGCTCGCTGCCCACCCGATCGGCCTGCGGGACACGATGCCCAGCTCAGTGCAAGCCCTGCACCTCCCTCTCATCCTCAGTGGCACAGGAGCAGCCTTCCTCCCGCAGCTGCATCATGGCGCTCCCCATGCCCTAAACTCTGTTCTGAAAGTCAAAACCAGGTTTAATGCACATGTGGGGCATCACTCGCTTGGTTACTCCCCCCACACTCTTCCAGCATGGAAGAAGGGGAGCCTGGGGAAGGAGAGAAACCAGTGCTTCAGCATTTTCTTCTAATTTCACCAAATTTTGAAGCTCAGGAGCCTCTGCTGACTCTTTTCCCTCTCCCAAAGTCAAAGCATATCAGCAAGGGAAAGGCCCCAGCACCAGCCCTGCCACCTCAAACCCCAGCATCCAGCCGCAACTCCTATTTCCAACCCAGGCTGCTCCCACCAGCCCAAAACACACAGAGACTGCCCCAAAACACCCCCACAAGGACCCGAGCGCGGCTGTACCCGGGCATTGCTGGCCGTCAGCCACGTGGGCTCCACTGCCCGGCGGGTGATGGTGCCTGCAGTCACCACCTGCGGCAGGATGGCTCCGTAATCATCCTCCTCGTTATAGTCGGGGTGCCTGGGACAGAGTTGAGGCTGAGCACCATCATGCCAGAGCCCTCCCAGAGCAGTGTAAAGGGGATTGTGGTCCCAGCTGGGGCCATTCCTCCCCATACCTGGTCACCACACGAGGCAGCTCCCCTTTCTTCAGCCACACCACCATCTGGGAACTGGAGGGACAAGCAGCAGGCGAGATGCTGAGCCCCCCATGTCTGCACGACCTCCCCCGGCTGCAACGCAGCCTCCGCCCGCCCGCAGGGATGCCGCGATTCAGCTGAAGGCGGCCGCTCACCTGATCCGCTTGTGAGCATTCCTCCAAAATGAGATCATTTTGTTAATCTCCAGGGCTCTGGTCCCATGGGTGCGACCCACAGCGGCCCGCAGGGTGCCGTCCTCCATCTGGGGCAGGAAATCCTTGGCAAAAGGGCTTCCCACGTTGTTATCATTCCCGTCCTTTAGGAGCAAAAAAGGTGCCAGGGCTCAGCGTGCCACCGCTTGATATCAGTCAAGTTGTGCCCACCCTCCTACCCCAGCTAGAGAGATGCATTGCCACCACCCTATCCCATGGGACAGGATCATGGTGGTCCCAGGATTGGAGCAGCACAGGGATGACAGGCAAGGGGACACGGGGTGGTCAGGCAGGGTGACACAGCCCCTGGGAAGAGCCCCAGGAGCACCCAACTTGCCTTGTGAGGCAGCTTGAAGAACCAGCACCCGGGGATGTTGACATCGTTGTAGGGACCATTGCCATGGTGGTAGGAGGGCTGGCTCCTCACCTCCATCGGCTCACACAGCTCATCCATCTCCTCCTGTGACCAGCGATGCGAGGTGATGCTGGGAACCCTCCCGGCACGGTAGGAGGGGAAAATCCAGGAAACAGGGACCGATCCGCCACCCCATCCCACAGGACACCCCCTTTACCTGTGCCAGGCTCTGGTCTGCTCTGCCCATTTTCTCCTCCATGTCCACCTCCATCTGGCTCAGCTCCTCCACCTGCAGCACAGAGGGACCGCGGCGGGAGCCAGGTCAAACACCGCTTCTCCAGTGATTTAACACTTAGTGAAGGGAATGTCTTACTTCCAGCCCCCGGAGCCACACACGGGGCTGGTTTTCGCATGCACACAGGAATAAGCCCAGCCCCACACCTCCCTCCCACCCTCCCTCCATCCTTTCTTTCA